TTCATGCTGATTAATTTTAACACATCAATTGGTACATAATGCTAAGCATTTTTATGTTTTCTGAGCATTTTTAGATAGCAAAATGATGAGCACCAAACTTTACCACAAATGATTACAGATATTGTTTAAATCAGTGTGAATACATGTCTAAATTGACTATTGAGCACTAGCGATGTGTTAAAGGGATAGTTCACTTTGAAAATAATTTTTGGTATGTTTTAACTTACCTCAAGGGCATCCAAGATGTAGGTGTCTTTGTTTCCACAGTATTTTCAATTTTGATATTTTTAGGTCAAACCGTTCGTGTCTATCAGTCATATAATGGAGGTCTATGGTCACCACCTCAAAGAGCAGCACAGAGAAGTCCAAATTAAACATGATTTAATGACTCGTAAATGTAAGTACACATTGATGGCCTAAGACACGAAACGAGCGGTTTGTGTGAGAAAACGAACAGTATTTATATCGTTTTTACCTCTTGTAATCACAGTCACGTCCAAGTGATCTAGGGGCGCTGATGCTTCGGTCTGCGAAGTGACGGAAAGCGCCGGAAGTGATCTCTTTCGGAAGTGTTACCTTTCACTGTGAAGATCTAATCATATTTAGACATACAAAAAATCGCAATGGAAGACGATTTCGATATATCAACAGACAACGTCTGCGCCTGGGCCCTCAGATCACTTGGACGTGGCTGTGGTTACAAGAGGTAAAAACGATATAAATACTGTTCGTTTTCTCACACAAACCGCTCGTTTCGTGTCTTAGGCCATCAATGTGTACTTACATTTACGAGTCATTAAATCATGTTTAATTTGGACTTCTCCGTGCATGCTCTTTGAGGTGGTGACCATAGACCTCCACTATATGACTGAACAAGAACGGTTTGAGCTAAAAATATCAAAATTGAAAATACTGCGGAAACAAAGACACCAACATCTCGGATGCCCTTGAGGTAAGCTAAAACAAAAATTTATTTCAAAGTGAACTATACCTTTAAGAACATGCCAGACATGATGAACAAAACATGTGCAGATAGGTTGTAATTAATGCGAGTATGAACAGTCTGTCTTACCCTGAGATTCTCCATTTATGATGAGCTGAGCAAATACGGCAGCATAGTTTCCTTTCATTGCGTTCCCGATGTACATTTTCTGAGCATCTTCGGAGGGTGTGTGAATAATAAACTCCTGCAAAACAATATGGGCTGTTTGAAGAATTGTCATGTTTTATGGCCAATGTGTGAACAGCTTGTAATGAAACTCAAAAAATGCGCCCTCAGAGTACTTGGACGTGGCTGTGCTTACAAGAGGTAAAAACGATATAAATACTGTTCGTTATCTCACACAAACCGCTTGTTTCGTGTCTTAGGCCATCAATGTGTACTTACATTTACGAGTCATTAAATCATGTTTAATTTGGACTTCTCTGTGCATGCTCTTTGAGGTGGTGACCATAGACCTCCATTATATGACTGACAGACACGAACGGTTTGACCTAAAAATATCAAAATTGAAAATACTGCGGAAACAAAGACGCCTACATCTCGGATGGCCTTGAGGTGAGCTAAAACATACCAAAAATTAATTTCAAAGTGAACTATCCCTTTAAGCTCAAATCTTTGTCTATTTCACAGGTGGATTTGAAAAGTTTGTGAACAAGATCTTTAGATACGAGATCCTTTTCTTCTGTACTTATATCCAGGAAATAAGTTTCTTCATTTCCAAATTACAAATTCAATTTCAGTCTGTTTCCCACAAAGCTATTGTTTGGGTTCGGAAAAATTAGTTTTTTTGTACAGCACTTTGGTCAACCTGTTTCTTTCAAATGTGCTTTATAAATAAATATTGTATTGTAATTATTGCATGCTTTTTACTTTGGAGTTTGACGGTATCAATCACCAGAAATAGTTTACGACATAAATAAATGATGCCGGAATTCAAATTTTGGGGTGAACTATCCGTTTAAAATTTGCATTGCAATCACTATTGAGCTTGCATAGAGTAGAGCTGGGTATTACCTGTGTGTATTGATCGTATCGAGCCTCAGTGAGAATGCCTCGAACGTTGCTACCGTGGCCCCTCTCGGTCATTGCAAACATCCCTGTGAACTGTAGCTCCTGCAAATAGTGCAGAATCATATAGACGTTGCGTTGACATTACATCAATAATTGCAGCCATTCTTGCATTAAACAAACAACACATGTGTAAACTGAGCCAAAAGTGAGCAGGACTTTGGCTTGCAAACATGTATGTGCACATCGTGTTGGAATCTGGAGCGCACAGAATTTATTCATGACTTACTGATACAGGCAGGTACCACTTCTTCTTCTGCTCTGGACTGCCTAGATTATTGACAGCACCTCCATACAGTCCACACACAACACCGAGCTGAGGGTTACAGCAAACAGTGCACTGTCACTATTCAAATGCACCACCATAGTGTGGAATAAATGCAAATGTGGAGCATCATGCGTGCCAACATGACATGCAAATGTGCCTCAGAACAGCTCAAAACTCTAAACAGCAGGCAAAGATACCAGAAATCCAGTTGCCTTTATTAAGAAGCAACTGGAATATAAGAAGAAAGCTGACAAACCTTGACTCCCGTGGCCATGTCAGCGGAGCAGATGACCTCGGTGATGCCCCAACTCTTGTTTATGAAGCCGTTTTGCTTCTCTTTTAGCTAAACAAAGGCAAATAAGATGTGCATTACACTAACAAAACATACCATCATGCAATACTGCATGCACCATGGTGAATCCCTGTTTTATGACATCTACCGTGGTAACTAATGAAGCTGATCCTTTGAGAACAATGCAAACTGAATTTCAGTAACGTGATATCTATTGTTTTTACCAAATGACATCCCATCTTTACCATGCAGTAATGCGTAATTGAATGCGTAATGACGACTATACCTGGTTTTGAAGGTGTTCTCTCATGAAAGGCAGTCTTAAGATGTGATAGAGTCTCTCTGCGGTCAGGTCTCTGCTCTGATCCAGAGTCAGTTCATAACTGCACAAGAATTCACATTCAAATGTCGCGCAAAATGGATTTAAAATCTATTGAAACCGTTCACAAAATGTGCTCAGCCTCCATCAGGTGTCTGGGAGAAGTTGTGACTGCTAACTCTCCTCGCAATGAAACCTACCTGCTGCACTGAAACAGAACACACTTTGAAATCGCGTCCCGAAAAGCATCTTTAATCTCCCAGAATTCTCCATCCAGATATCTGGCGAGGCTGCTGGGTTGTTTTTGATCCATGGATGATAACAAGATGACTTGATTTCCCTGGTTTTTACTTTAACTGTAACTGTAACTGTACCATTCCACTTCCGCGTTTGGGTGATGTCATCGCGTTCGTGGCAACACAGCCAATACCCTGTTTTATTGCCAAACATATCAAAATATGAAATGCATAACTCTACATTTTATTAAGTATAATAGACTTGTGGACCGTTGCTTATGTTTGCTTTTTTTTCTAGATTTCATTACAGTGAAGTAGATTAATATCAAATGAGTTTCGATGATAAAATTATAAATAAGCCTATCATTATGATTGCTAAAAATGTGCTGAATTCTGCAGGTTTTTCGCGGTTAATGTAAAAGGTTTACGTGATTATCATGACTGGAAATGTATAATTATTTTACAGTACAGCTGGATTCATTTTCCTCTCAAGGTTAATGCTCCTCCCATTCTTATCAATGGAACAGCCCGGCGCCGGAGCAAATAGACACAAATAAACTATTGGCTGCTTAACTGAGGTCACCGTGGCCTTATGAAAAAACATAACCACTTACTATACTTACTGCATACGGTTCCTTCAGAGGTGATGAACTTCTGTTCTGACCAATCATAATCTCTGATATCAATGATATGATATTACCTGATATATCAGGTATAAGAACCTTATCTATCTATCTATCTATCTATCTATCTATCTATCTATCTATCTATCTATCTATCTATCTATCTATCTATCTATCTATCTATCTATCTATCTATCTATCTATCTATCTATCTATCTATCTATCTATCAGTCTGTCTGTCTGTCTGTCTGTCTGTCTATCCATCCGTCTGTCTGTCTGTCTGTCTGTCTATCCATCCGTCTGTCTGTCTGTCTGTCTGTCTGTCTGTCTATCTATATATCTATCAGTCTGTCTGTCTGTCTGTCTATCCATCAATCTATCCATTTGTCTCTGTCTGTCTGTCTGACTATCCATCCGTCTGTCTATCTATCTATCTATCTATCTATCTATCTATCTATCTATCTATCTATCTATCTATCTATCTATCTATCTGTCTGTCTGTCTGTCTGTCTGTCTATCCGTCCGTCCGTCTGTCTGTCTGTCTGTCTGTCTGTCTATCTATCTATCTATCTATCTATCTATCAGTCTGTCTGTCTGTCTATCCATCAATCTATCCATTTGTCTCTGTCTGTCTGTCTGTCTGTCTATCTATCTATCTAGGCTATCTATCTATCTATCTATCTGTCTGTCTATCCATCTGTCTGTCTGTCTATCTATCTATCTATCTAGGCTATCTATCTATCTATCTGTCTGTCTATCCATCTGTCTGTCTGTCTGTCTATCTATCTGTTCATCCGTCCATCTGTCTATCTATCTATCTATCTATCTATCTATCTATCTATCTATCTATCTATCTATCTATCTATCTATCTACTGTATAAACACAGTTTTACATTCTAAATCTAAGATTCTTAATCTAAATGTCTATTTAACATAGGGGACTAAACAAACTGACCTCTAACATGACTTTTTTATGACTAATTATGATGATGCTGTTGAATATTAAATATATATCTTGAAATATATATATATATGTATACGAGTTATCTATGTGTATGTCTTTCTGTGTGTGTGTAGGCTATGTAAGTGGGTGTTATGTATGTGTGTGTGTCTTTTGATGTGCCAAACGCAGCTCCCTCATTGTTATTTCTGATATGACTCAAGATGCGCAGGCAAACAGTTCATCTACGAGCTCCTCTCCCAGACCAGATCCCGTGAAAACACCGTGAACACGCATATACTGCACTAGGACCTAGAAATCAATCGCTTTAGCGGCTTTACCATCTGTGGGATCAACACTAGCTACTATAGTCTGAAACCGCGAAGCGTTTATTTTCCTGTCCCGTCTCAAGCGCGCGCTCGATTTCAGGTCAGAAGATCTCCCGGCGTGAGGGAAAGTGGATTTTACCAACTTAAACAAGGTGAAAACACTACAAAACAATGTGGAGATCTCTCCTGCTTCTCCTCTGTCCTCTGCTGCTGTCTCTCTGCCGAGGCGTGTGTTTCGAGTGCCCTGAGATCTGCAGATGTTCTCAGAAGAGCATCACCTGTAACAACGCGACAGAAAACACCAAGAGCAGGACTCACAGACTGTAAGCACACATCTCTTCATCGTTTATGTCACTTATAACACCTAAAGTGGCACTTTTATTAACTCATTGCACTTAAAGTGGGACTTTCATTTACTCATTACGCTTAACATTTCAGTGTAGGCTATAGCAATTGGAGACCGGGGTAAGTTGTCACATATAACTTGTTGATTTGATTTGGACATTTTTTTCAATTTTTTGAGATAACTGGCAAAAAATGTCACCCCTATCTGTATTTATTTCCATATAAGTCTGGTTGGGGCGTGACGTTTTATTATAATGGGCAAGTTGTCACATGTGCTTCACATGTTGCAGGCTAATTTTTACATTATTAATATGCCGTAATTTATCAGCCAAAATAATGGATTAATATTTATGTATGCTTTTGCTCTAAAGCATTCTAGATATTGTCTGACTCAAATCAGAGTTAAAAAAAACCTCAGCAGATTCTCATTATGACAACTTAGTCCAAAATGTGCTGTATTTAGATAATGATGGTGATGGGTGTGTGTGTGTGTGTGTGTGTGTGTATACATGTCAAGACTTTAAGGTTTGTGTCCGCCTCAGAAATTGATTGACACATTCTCTGCAGTAAAAGTCTATAATTATAAAATATTATAATAAAAGAAAAGCAGTTGCACATCAAGTACAGAACAGGGTGTTCATTAGTGGTCATTAAAATAGTACTTTTTAATATACTAGTGTTGGCAGTGATTCATTTTGTGATAATAAACCTTATGTAAACCTACTATTATGTAAATATCTCACACACCCAAATACCTAAAAAAAGAATCTCAATTGTTTGCATGTTAGTACAGAATGTTTTAATCAACATTTCAACATTTTACTTTAACATGTGATTTAGAGTGACAGTATCTCTTCTCATAGGACGAAGGGAGTGTGTTTGTGTTTGTGCTGCGTTCAATTTATTGTCTTCTCATGTGTGGACGTACACCATAACAGCAGTGGATGTGCTTATATTATGTATCTGTTTCATAAATAACCATCCCAAATATAGTCTAAACACATATGACCCATTTAGTTATCTGAATAGTAAATAATTAGTTATCTATATACTGAAGATACCCATCTATTATCTAAAAAATGTACAAATAACAACTCTGAATGCTACCATGTGGTTTTGAGACAAATATGAATACCGTCTGTGTTATATGAACAGTGGCTCAAAAAGTAGCACACAAAAGTCTTAATAATTTATTGCATGAATTAATTTGGTATTTTTAGCAAACCTTTATCATGACTAATGTGAGGGGTAGCTACATTTTGCTCTCAAACCCATATTTATTCACAAAGGAATATTAGTTTCGGTTGAATAAAAAGCGAGATAAAGGCCAACTCTTTGATGGATCATTGTTCTCTCTGCTTGTCAATTGATAAGAAGTTCAATATATTTTAACTGTATTTAATGCATTAAAGGGTTCCACTTTTTTGGATAAAAGGGATAATCCACTCCCTTTAAGGCAAGTCAGTTCCCTCGGCTATCAAGAAAAAATACAACTAGCATGCAAGCATCTCCATCTCCTTGAATGAGGAAAGACTGAAATCTCTAGAACTATAATTGCATTTTAATAAACATTTCAAATAAATTCTGACAACAATTATATCATTAAGACCAAAAGTGACATCTTTATTCTTCACCCTTTATTCAAATATTATTAAAAAAAATTAATGCTAAATCATTTTTGGCTTTTCAGGCTGTCATCAACACGAGAGAATCAACTAAACATTGATAACTGATTATGATGTTGTCAATGTATGCTTTATGTACATTGATTATTATTATTTGAATAGTAAAATAAAACCTGCACCTGTAATTTGCCTCTTTTTTTTGTCAAATACTTTTGTCAGAACACCAAGTTTAGTGATTTGTTCTTCTCTCATATTGAGAATATTTAAAAAGCATAAAATATGCATGCTCATTTAAAACAATAATCCCCTTCTGACATCACTTTTGGCCAGCACTGCCATTCTTCTTTGACAAATAACACTAAAAAACTGTATTTTCAGGCTGTTAATGCACCTTATAAAAAAGGCCTCCGTCAAAACGGTGACAGAGTCCTTCCTGCAATTTCCCGCATTTAGTTTTCTACCTTTTCTAGTTTCTTTTTGCTCTGAATACATTAACAGAGCAATCGTGATGCAGTCCTCGCTTCTCATTATAGTCTTGCTTACGCATGACACCTGAAAAAAGCAATGGGGGAGCTGTTGACTTGTGTCAAGCTTGAGAAAAGTAATATCCGAAGTAGACAGGTCAAGTGGTTTTGTCTGACTGACGGGTCTCGGCTTGCCATCATCATCACGCCCGCTGAGCCGAGCGTGTTAAGAGAGTCTGCTTAGTGTCCTTGAGGCCTTGAAATCATCTTCTTCCTCTACTGAAACCTTGAGCCCCGATAAGAGTTGCGTGCAATCAAGGACATGAGATAAATGAATAATGTCCTTAAAAATAAGAAAAAGAAGTGTGATCACACACCCCCTTCAAATTTTGTCATTTGTTTACGTTTTTTTAATTCCACTTGGTTTTAGACGAATGTGAGCACACGTAATGACATGCAGCATCTGGCATTGTGTAATTAATTTTACAGTGTCTCAAAAAGTATTTGGTTCATACCCAAGACACACTCAAAATGTCGCTCTAATACCACGTGAACTCACTCAGAGGCCCACACAGAAGAAAATGAAGAGTTGAATAAGAAAGTTTATTTATATATCACTTTATAGATTGCTAAATGAGGCAAGAGTGTAGAGTTACATTCAAGCTAAGACATGGAGAATTTATTTTCAAGGAAAAAACTTTTAAAAGGGATAAAATGATTGACTACAGGGCACTTTAAAAACTTTGTCCTTTGAAACAAATGGCATTTAATGATTAGCATTCTTTCCAGGATTAATGAATAAATCAAAAATCATACTTTTTTTTAGCACTTAAACATGCTTCGAGGCTTCTGTAAGCATGACTAATTTCCAGTATGATCCACGACGTGAGCTCCAACCGAAGCGAGAGCCTTCGAGCGCTAACAAGAGTCGGGCGGTGACTCCACACTCACATCATTAGACCTGCAGTGCAAGAGATGAATCAAGCAACACTTCACAATTACAAACTCTGAGAGCACTGTGACCTTCTCTCCAAAACAACACCAAGTGATAATTATCCGAGTGCAAAGGTTCCAAACTCTTAAATGAAGTATGCAAGACATAATGTGATGTAATTACTTGCAATTTGCATGGTCATTTTTAAGCAGTGCATTGGAAAACGGGATTGTTGTTTTGATAATTACGGGGGAAATTAATGTTGCTGTAAATAGGACGCAAAATACTTCCTCAAGTCCCATAAAAGGTACTAACGCAACTGGAATTTGGAATAGCAGCATACTACTCTTTTATTCAAAGGATATGACTGTCTGAAAAAGTGGCACGGTAGTGAACTATTCTGAATATTATGATTTTACAGGGTTAAATGAAGGTCAATTGTCTTCTTTTGAGATTTTGGTCCTTGCTGAATGAGCTTTTATCTGCTCTGTCTCAGAGTGGAAGTGCTTTGTTGACGTCTTATTTTAACCAGTACAAGACATCTGTTCAAGCTCCTTTTATTTTAACCTAATTTTCCACAGAATTTAATTTTTTTACAGGACATGTTTTAACATATTTAAAGGAGTAGTTCACTTTAATTTACTTTTAATTTAATTTTTGATGAAAACATTCCAGGACTTTTCTCCATATAATGGACTTCAATGGGGTCCAAACGGTTCAAGGTCCAAATGAGAGTTTTAGTGCAGCTTTAAAGGGCTTTAAACGACACCAGACGATGAATAAAGGTCTTATCTAGGACCCTTCTAGTCATGACTCGAAAAAAGATTTGTTCATTTTGATGAACAGGAGAGTCACGGAACAGAGCAAGGCGAGCATTTGTGCTTATAAAACGTAATTTTTTTAAAAAATTTTTTAAATGAGCGATCGTTTCACTTGATAAGACCCTTATTCATCGTCTGGAATCGTTTAAAGCCCTTTGAAGCTGCACTGAAACTCTCATTTGGATCTTGAACCGTTTGGACCCCATTGAAGTCCATTATATGGAGAAAAATCCTGGACTGTTTTCATCAAAAACCTTAATTTCTTTTCAACTGAAGAAAGAACGACATGGATATCTTGGATGACATGGGAGTGTGTAAATTATCAGCACAAGCTTTTTTTTTAAAAAAGTGAACTAATCCTTTAAGGTTTTTACAAGAAAATGTGATTTGCTATGTGGTTGCTGTTCAGGATCAGGGATTTATTCAAATTTGTGACTAATTGATGTGAAATTATTATTCATTCATCATTTGCATCTCAATTTCAGAGTTTTGAAGTACATCTCTCTGAGAACCATCAGCAGTCGCAGTTTCGACCACCTGAAAGGAGTAAAATCAATGTGAGTAAAAACTGACGTCAGATAACCAGATGTTTAGCATGTCCACTGAAGGGAAATGCCATCCATCATCATAGCCCTCCGAGCCAACAGGCACATCTCCACATCTGTGATCTGTGAAGAGGAGTTTTGATGTTCACTCCCTTTTTCAGAACGCACAGTCGAAGGAGCTTTCGATGCCAATTTTTTCCATGCGGCTCTTTGAAAAAGCTCAGGACATCCAAGTTAGGAGGAACAGTTTGAACGCTCGCACAGAATAGATTATTCTTTGACTGAATAGCATGTATTAAAAGGAGCAGAATTTTGTCAATGCCAGTTATATCACACAATATCAAAGAATCTTTCTCTCTTGAGATTGAATTTTTGTGCCAAAAAGTGGAATGGCCTAAAAAAAGATGTTTGGACTATATGGGGTTTACAATAAAAAAATCATATTAATCTTTATGAAGTCTAAAATGCAAAACTTTATAATGAAACCACAACTTGAATTAGAAAATGCAATGCAATTAGACATGGTTATATAAATTAACATAAAGGAGATTATAGTGAAAACTGTTTTATTTTTATTAAAAAAGTAGATGTTATTTGTTTTGCTTTTTGTAATTTATTTATATGAACATGATATATATCAGAATAGACCATTGGAATTCATATATTTGTTATTATGATTGTACCGTTCAAATAGTTTGTGGTTGTATGATTAAAAAAAAAGAAATTAATACTTTATGCATTAAATGATTCAAATGTGACAGTAAATATTATATTCTAATTCTATTTCAATTATAATAAGAAGAATTGTTAATAAGAAATGTTGATATTACACATGTTCATGCTCTGTAGGCTTCATCCATCCAAGTTTTTGATGATGCACGATTCATTTATTCAAGCGTAAATAAATGCATAAAATTGTGTATTTTGGGACACATTTTGCCACTCATTTTCATTCACTTGTTTTTTTTCCCCCAGAGAAATCTCCCAGAGCATATCATTGGAAACCATAGAGACAGAAGCATTCAACAGCCTTCTGAATGTCTCAGAAATGTAAGAAACCACTCAAGCTACAATGAAAGTTATTCATGGATAATTGACTTGATTTGCATGCATTTCTTAATGACTGTATTTCATTACTGTCCGTAAAACCTACCGGAACAGAATCTTCTCTGACAGAGACTGAGTCATGGTAAAGTGTCGTTTGTTTGTGATTTGTCATGCAAGAATTTGTGTCACAGCTCAATCCAGAACACGCGGAGTCTCATTCACATCCACCAGCGGGCTTTCAACCACCTTCCCAAGCTGAGATACCTGTAAGCAGCACATAATCTCTGTTTATTTTAATTGACATAAATCAGAAATGAATATTCTTAAAACCCAAGGAGTTAACATAACTCAAACCGATTGGATTAAACCATTTAAAGGGATAGTTCACTTTGAAATACATTTTTGCTATGTTTTATCTTACCTCAAGGGCATTCAAGATGTAGGTGTCTTTGTTTCCACCGTATTTTCAATTTTGATATTTTTAGGTCAAACCGTTCTTGTCAGTCATATAATGGAGGTCTATGGTCACCACCTCAAAGAGCATGCACAGAGAAGTCCAAATTAAACATGATCTAATGACTCGTAAATGTAAGTACACATTGATGGCCTAAGACACGAAACGAGCGGTTTGTGTGAGAAAAGGGACAGTATTTATATCGTTTTTACCTCTTGTAACCACAATAAAATAAAATATCAAAATTAAAAATACTGTGGAAACAAAGACACCTACATCTCGGATGCCCTTGAGGTGAGCTAAAACATACCAAAAAAGTGAACTATCCCTTTAAGTAAACAAAAGAGTACTGTGTACTTATTCCAGGTGATTTCACATAATAATTTTAAATTAAACTATTAATCCACTTAATGTCGCCCTGTGGTGAAAATCAAGCTTTTAATGTTGTTTATATGTATATGTGGTGTTTTTAATATGCTTTAAGACAAACCATGCGTAAATGCATAAGCATGCATTCAACTGCAGTGAACCAAAGACAGTCTCAAACACACGGTTTGAAATCGCTGGTAAAAACAGATCAACTTGTGATCGTCAATGAGTTGGTGTGAGTGAGTGGAGGTGGGGCTCATTTGCATATTCATTGAACTTCGTATACTAAATGAGGCAAGGGTGTCGAGTTACATTCAATCTTTTTTCAGGCGTGACCAAGGAAAAAAATGCTTAAATATGTGATTTTGGTGCTCAAAGATGAGTTTTAAAGGATAAAACTATCGACTACACGGCTGAAACTTTGTCAAAAAGTAGTAGTACCAGGTCCCGGATTCATTCTCGAACTCAGGAGATGATTGAGTGTGTTTTTTTGGTTTCTTGCGCAGGTCAAGACCCAATTCTCTTTTGCTTTGTCTTTCCATAGGAGCATTTCCAACACTGGCATAAGTGTATTCCCTGACCTGACCTCCATCTTCTCCCTGGAGCCCTATTTCATACTGTGAGTTTACCCTGTGGATTCATCTGTTTGAGAGATGGTGTAAGTGAGAATAAATGATGGAAAGTAATAGCGAAGCTGTAATTTGACCGTCTCAAGCTGACAGAAAATGGGGTGTTATGAAATGGACAGACGACTCATGAGTCAGAACACTGGATAAGAAAAGCACAGATGTATTAGATTAGGAGACTAATATCTTTTTGTCCATGAGTTTTGTTTTTGATGGGAAGTGTCTTATTGTTTCTTGTTCTTTTTTAGGGATATTTGTGATAACCTCAACCTGCGTTCAGTCCCACCAAATGCTTTCAGCGGAATGACGAGTGAATTCACCACAATGTTAGTATCTCACACTATGGCATCTTGTTATGAGTCAGGGTTTTTTTTTTTTTCAGGTGAACCTCTTTGATCTAAAATATTTGCTTAACGTGCCACCTGAAATTTTTAGTTAATGTTCAATCATTTTAACAGATCAGTCACATGTTTAGGGTTCCCTTTGGCTGCGTTAATGGCGCTTTTTAGCCAACTAAAATCTAACAGTCAGTAAAAATAATAACAAACAAAATACAATCGAATAAAGATACAAATGAAATAAACAGTTTTTTATGTTGTCAGGTATTCAGGTAAGAAATACTATAGAAATTGAGTAAAGTAATAATCACAGGTAAAATAACAGTGCATAGTCTTTCTTGGATAAACTCTTATTGCAGCTACTAAAGTTACTCAGTCAAGAGCAGTGAGGGATTTTATCTTTGTCTTTTGTTGTTTGAAATAACATTAAGGACTCAGACAGAAGCTGGTTTAGGCATGATGGACTGCACTTTAAAAAATAAAACCATAATTTTTACGGTAAAAATACGGTAGCAGCGTTTCTGGTTTTACAGTCTGAACTTAAAATTTACAGTAATAAACTGTATTTCATTATCTGATATAATGTTAATTTACTAACTTATTGAAGTATTGATATCTGTTTTGTACCATTGTAATACACTGACAACCAACAATCATCACAGCAGAGATGAGAGTCACATGATCAATCAAATCTCATCACAAGCAGATTTTCCACAAGATAATGAATACTTAATTAAAGAAGCTGCACAGTGTCATTCACACAAACATTAAACACTATCATGGTAACACACATAAAATAAAAAAAAATGCAATAAATGTTCATTTAACAACATTAAATGTAACATAAAACCCTAATACATAACTGATTAGAAAACTATTAAGAAACGGTTATTTCAACAAAAATACACACAGGGAATTGTGGGAATGTCAAATTACGTTTTTTCACTGTAAATTATACAATGAGTTGTTCTTTTTCACTTTCAAAAACTGTAAATTTAACGGTATTTTACAGTAAAATTACATTAAATGTACCATGAGATCTATCACAGTTATTTACCGTATATAGGACGGAAACTCTCTTAGCATTTTTACAGTCTTTTACCGTTAAAAACACGATTATTTTTTTGGACACTTGCCAAAACGGGCAGTTTTTTTGTCTAATTGTCGTGGAAATCCATGATAATCTTTTGGTAAATTTCTTCAACTGTCCCTTCAACTTGTGCAGTCCTCATTGTCGAGCCCTGTATTGTACATTTCTTTGTGTTTTGCCAGAGATTGTTACGTTACTCGACACAAATGGGCTTGTTCTCCTTGATTTCAAGATAAGACATGAGAGTGTATGCTATTAACCCGCCGGATTTATCATTGCGTTACCATTAAAATGTGCACATCTAACCAAGATTAACTGTGAGAGAATCTTTTCCCAAATCATCCCTAACTAACATTTTCAGCATGCTCTTATTCGTAGACAAAAAGGTCAATAGATTTCCGTTATAGGTTTTGTCATCAAAAATGGTCTTTTCTGTAGTTATTGTTAGTGGAAAAATGTTGTTGACGATTAATTTTGTGTCGTCAACAACATTTTTTCACTGTTTTCCACCCTCTGTCTGACCCTAAGCAATAAAGGGACTCTTTGCAGATGATTTAAAGACACTGTCGCTGTGCAATTCTTATTTGTGAGCTGTGAATTTGCTTTTGGATAAAGTACACTGTGTCATCATCCTTTAATATCAGCCTCTTTGCATCACCATTGTGACAGAGCCATAAAACCATTGTTCCTCAAACCATTAAACGATCAGGGTTACAGTATGTTCTTTATTTAAAGGAGTAGTTCACTTTAAAAAAAAAAAAACTTGCTGATAATTTACTCATCCCCATGTCATCCAAGATGTCCATGTCTTTATTTCTTCAGTCGAAAAGAAATTAAGGTTTTTGATGAAAACATTCCAGGATTTTCTCCATATAATGGACTTCAATGGGAACCAAACAGTTCAAAGTCCAAATGAGAGTTTCAGTGCAACCTGCAAACTTTTCAAAGGGCTTTAAACGATTCCAGACGATGAATAAGGGTCTTATCAAGCAAAACGATCGCTCATTTTAAAAAAAACAACAACAAAGTTTAAGTTTTATAAGCTCAAATGGCCGTTCGTGACTCTCCTGTTCGAACTCGTTCATCAAAATGAACAAATCTTTTTTCGTGTCATTGCAATGCGAGCATATGAGCTTATAAAACTTAAACTTTGTTATTTTTTTCTTAAATGAGCGATCATTTCGCTTGGTAAGACCCGTATTCATCGCCTGGAATCGTTTAAATCCCTTTGAACTGTTTGCAGTTTGCACTGAAACTGTCTTTTGGACCTTGAACCGTTTGGACCCCATTGAAGTCCATTATATGGAGAAAATCCTGGAATGTTTTCATCAAAAACCTTAATTTCTTTTCGACTGAAGAAAGAAAGACATGGACATCTTGGATGACATGGGGGTTAGTAAATTATCAGCAAAAGTTTTTTTTAAAAGTGAACTACTCCTTTATTATCTATTAAGTTTTGCATTTTTAGTCCCAATAAATGCTCTTTTTGGATGGACTCCCAATGACATGACCCGTATAATAAACAAGGTCAACAAAACAAGGAATATTTTATTGGTGTACAAAAGCAAGACAGATATAAATCAATTTTATGGGGCTACAGGCCTAATACAGTTCAATGACGGTCAGTTTTCAAAGATCATAGTGTTATTAATCAAATCTTGCTTAGTCTACGTAAGTGTACAAGAGGGGCAACCTTCAATTTCTGATCTGTATGCAAACAAGATAGCACAGCCTAACGCTTCCTGAACTTTTACATACAGTATACACATTTTAAACCAAAAATGTTGTACTTGAAATAATATTCAATACAACTGTGGTAAATACCATAGTATTTGTATGATATTTAAGTCATTATCTGCTAATAAATGTTTCTCTTTCTCTCTCTCTCTTCAGGAATCTCTTTAACAATGGATTTCAAGAAATAGAAAGCCATGCATTTAATGGAACTATAATAGATAAACTGTAAATATTAACAGATTCTAAATACACTAATAACTATTCAGTGTACCATGGGTATGTGTGCTGTATAATCACGGTGTAATCTGTTTCTATTGCAGAGTCTTAAAGAACAACAAAGATCTGCGTTTAATCCATGAAGACGCTTTTAAAAAAGCATTTGGCCCCACTACGCTGTAAGTGGAACAACAGTGAAATACTGCTGCCTTTCTCTTGCAAATTCTGGCTCTTTACTTCACTGGTTCACCGTTCATCTTCTCTGGAGTGAACGCATGGTGTCAGGTCTTATCAGACGTCAATTTGAATGACTAAATCTGGGGTGCATTATCTTACTGTAGAGTCTAGACTAGAGCTTTACCACACCTGCCTTAGATTTTAAGAAAACCTGAAGGTCTCGATTGGTTTAGGTGGGATTGATTGCCGTATGAAGACTTGAGGAGCAGGTCATAACATGAGAAATCAAATTTGCCTTGATGTTTTTTACATATAAGGGTGTTATGTAAAAAGGTCAATAGCAAACCACAACCATCTAATCAATTCCTCATGGACAATTTCCTAAAAAAAAAATTCTAGTTTGAGAAGCCGTTTCACTCTAGCCTGGGTTTCCACATACTGCGTTTGGCAATGCTGCTAGGTAGTCTGGATATCATGGACCAGATTTTCGTACAGACTCATTTGATAGACATTCGTAGCACCCAATATATAGCTCTGCCTCTGGGCATTCATAAACCATGCCTCAAATACGAGAAAATGAACATGTGGTTCCCAGACCACATCTCAATGTCAATATGTGGTCTCGCATTAGCCAGGCTAGTTTCACTCAGAAATAGGTCTACAATAGGGAAGAAAACTTCGGCTATTTCTCAATACCAAGTACGCAAGCTTCGGACTTGTCCTTGGTAGTTCTTACCCTGTCTTTTTTTCTCAAATGTCACTGTCAGTTTTAATGATCAATAATATCTAGGGCTGGGTATTGACACAAATTTCACAATTTGATTCGATTTCGATTCACAAGCTTGCAATTCGATTCCGATTCGATTCAAAATGGATTATTTTGGAAATCAGTTACAATAAATGGCAGATTTTCTCAAGGAAATCAAATGCTGTAAACTATGGGAGTCTAGCTGTAGCCTACTAGGCTTCATTAGCCTAATATGAAGGTAATAATTAACTGTTTTGTAGCTATACAAACACTTAAATTACACTTATTTATTTTTATAATAAGAAGATTATATGAAATATAAACATTTACATGGTGGCTGTCATAACTTGCCAGATTTATTCAAATATGCATTAAATATTGAAAAACATTAAGATTATAATGCATATAATATGGTGTATATATTTAGCAAAATTCTCCTCTCTGGAGTTATTTTTCTAGCTGACTAACAGCTGTGGGTTTCCTGAGGTAAATATGACGATACACGAGTCACGACATTGATTACAAGCTGTTTAACGGACGTCTTTCCACGGTTGAAATGTTGATTGAGCGAATCAATGTGACATGATACGGATTTCGATAAGTTGTACTCTATCTTTTAACACACTTTCAGATGCTCGTTCATGTTTAATTCACGCTGTGACTGGTATTAATTTAACCCGGAAGAGAGATCAGCGCAGCTGAGCCAGAGCGATCTCACGCCACAGCGCCAAAACGTTATTTATGTTTTTGAATTCCTAAAGAAAATGGACGTAATTTGAAATTTGAGACTTTGTTTCATATTAATAATAACAAAGGACAAAGATTATTGCGATGTTTTGGATGCGCGGAGCCGCGATACAATGTTCCATTCATTCAAATAAAACAGGATGACTTATCGATTCTTGAGATTTAAGAATCGGTTCGTAAAAATGAGAATCGATTAATATCGAGAAATCGATATTTATAACCCAGCCCTACTAGCCTGAAAGGTATAGAAGCTAAGTTAAAGTTAAATAGCCTTAATAAAGTTATGAAACTTCACTTTGCCCCCAGCCAAAACGCCATGGAACAAAGTACTACAGTTTAATGAGACCAAAGATAGACTTATACACAAGACGAATTATACGTCAAGTTTATCCACTAGACTAGAGACATCAAACGAAGCACTAGCCGAGCACTAGTCAGACTAGTCAGAAGCACTAGCCGAGGAAAAACTGTTCCAGTCGGGGTTTATTGAGCGTTGAGCGCCCGGTGAACGTCTGGATGTCACATCTCCGAAAATGTCAGATATATTTTTCAAATAGGCGCTATCTTTATAAATAAACCACAGATTTGAGCTTTAAACAACCACATTCTCGCCTGAAACACTCTTAAAATTACATTTCATGGCACACTAACAGTAGTAGGCTATTTTGATATTCCGCGCGGGTTTTCTCCTGGTTGGTGCGAGATGCATTCTGGGATACCTGGCTGTCTCAAGTCCGCACAAGTCACCTCTTGATGCATCCTCGGTAAACGGGGCGTATCAAGAACACATCTGTGGATTTGTGGACTTGGCTAGATGTGCAATTTGACCTGGAACAGTACTTGGGTAGTGACTGATGACGTTTCACAAGAAAACAAGGAAGGACTTTTGTCACTTTGTAGGACAACTCGGAAGCTAACGGCGCATGGGTTCCCTCGGTCGAAAAGCCATGCATTTTCCCCATAGACTTTTGGAAAATCGCAAAAAATAAGATCTGTGTTTAACAAAGAGTTGTGACCCTTACACGTTTTGTCTAGCAAGATAATCTTTACAAGTTAATCCAAAATTTAAACATTTTGAAGCCTATATAAAGATTTAAAAAAACACAATCAGACACAATAAAGTTTAAAAAAAAACACAAGCAGGTTATAACTGTGTGTTCTATGTCATAGATCAAAACGTGAAAATATTTAGAGGCTTTGTTCACCACAAACCTTATTTCAGGCGATTTAGCAAAAACCCATTAAAAAATCCCATAGGCTTTAGAGCGAGGGAACCGTAATGCTAAAATGCTAACTCACTTCCGCGTTTTGGCCTACAGAGTGACGTCGTAACATCGGCACTCTATTGAGAAACTGCCTTCAGTTTCATGCCAACTTCAATGCAGTATTTCACTCTCTGTTGTTCACCAGGGATGTGTCGTCTACAGCGTTGGAGACACTGCCCTCTCATGGTCTGGAGTCTGTGTTGATGCTGGTGGCTCGTTCGGCGTTTGCACTGAAGAGACTGCCTCCTCTGAAGGGACTGAAGAGCCTGAGAGAGGCACAGCTCACGTATCCCAGCCACTGCTGCGCTCTGCTGAGCTGGGACTCGCACAGGTCAACATATAAAATCAGTTTAGGTGTCATAGTGGAGTCAAATATTCCTCTCATCTTCATCATTGCCATTTTGAATGAGAGCATCACTGGCACTTCTTCCTCAGAGAACGCCATAAAATTAAGCTCCAATAAGAGAACTTGACATTTATCTTTGATATTATGATTCACTGTTCAGATTTAAAGCAGTCTAATTCAATTCCTTCATTTTCTGCTTTTCATATAGGGAGGGTTCTGTTATTGCTGCATTGAGAAATGGATCATCAAACTGTGATGACAACAGCGAACCGGCTAAGTACGTTTGGTTAGTCTGATGTAGTATTGACATGTTTTGTTTTATTTTATTGTTGTACCTATAAGTAAATAATTATAATCTTCTTTATAGATTCAGCAGACCCATAAGAAAATTAATTTTCGAAATGAAATATTTTAAATATATCAGCTGGTAACCGAATAAATGGCTTCTCATGAAAAAAAAAAAAGAGATTTGTATCCTCTCGAGTTGTCAATAATAATGTCTCCAACTGTATTTTCCCGGATACCAAAGTCTGATTTGTTTTCATGACAAATCGAATGTAAAGAGTTTTATCTCTAAAAACTGTTTAGATTATAAAGCTAGTATATGGGGGCATATAATAAGTAAACAGAAATCGCAAGTTAACACCACTAACAAGGCTCAAAATAGCCCCACACTAAAACAGTAACATAATGAGGGTCTCTACATGCAAACCCAAACATTGAGAACTTTGTTAGTGTACAGACCGTTTAATAAGAAGATACTTTATAAAGACAGTCCACTTCGTGTATACAGGCAGGAGAAAACAGTCTCGACAAGTCGAACCACGAACGCCGTGTCAATTGAGCTGAACTGTATAGAAAAAAGGGTTCATTGGGGTTCTATATATGAAGCATAGGGTTCTTTACTCAACTCCAAAGAACCTTTTATGCTAAAAAAGGTTCTATAATGACAAGAAAGAACCCTTTCGGCACAAATGTTCTATATAGGCTATTATTCATTCATATATTACATTATTCTGCAACATTTTGTAGTTGTAATTACATTATTGCTTATTAAACTGTTGTAGTAACTTAATATCACATTTTAATCAGAAAAACTGAAATGGCACTCTTCGTGTGATATTGATTAACTACATAAAATGATATATACATTTTCTAGCCCCCAATCTTGAATTTTGAGTTTTGCATTCATGAATACATTTTAGGGTCTTGGTGTTTGTCAATGATATGAAATATTTAATCTGGAAAGGACAAAAACAAATGATAATGAATAAATCCAAAAGGTTCCATATAGAACATTTTTCCTGGTTACAAAGAACCCTTTAATATAAAGATTATTAATTCTGTATAGAACCTTTTAGGGGTTCCAAATACAAAGCGCTGATGGAACCTTTTAAGGTTCTATATAGAACCTTTTCTTCTAAGAGTGTATGAAGTTCAGCAAACTTTTGAACTGCATGAACGGTGTTCACTTATTAACTAGTGATTTCTTTTCACTTATTATATGCCCCCATACACTAGTGTTATACAAAACAGTTTAGATAAAACCCTTTACATTCGATTATCATGAAAACAAATCTCAGAGAACGGTCGACTAGGTACCAATGTGTTATAGACCAAAGGTTCGTGTTGCTTTAAAATAGTAACGAATTATAACCGGTACCGTATAAATTTAACCCCTCCACCCGGGTCTCACTCGACCCCGGGTCTCCGGCATGAGAGTCAGGCGCTCTAACAAGGAGGCTAAAGACTGCAGCCTCTAGTGTCTGTCGCTAGAGTGCTTATTGAGATCAGGGGAGTGAGGTTTACTCGCACAGCAACTACTAGCTGGCCTCCGTTACATAAACATCCTGTATATAACTGTACTTAGGTATAGAGAGCCTAAGTCCCGCCCCTCCGCTTCCGGCTCATGGGACCTTATTTCAGAAAAAATATGAATGGTAGTCAATGGCGAGAGACAACTTATCTTTTTATTCCGTCTGAACTGTGCCCTCAATTACACATATGATGTTTGTCGATTTAAAAGATAATTCTGAAAGTCAAAAACGTTGCAGTTTGTCATACAACATAAGAGGAACATTTAGTTTTATGTGAAAATCGCTCTATGAACTACATCTCCCAGGAAGCGAAACAACAAGTGAGATCCGCTGCTCGTGTGTGTGCAGTCTGGTACAAAACACTCGTAACGTTAACGATTATAACGTAAGACTGTAGAAACAATGACAGACATTAGCCTCAGTAAAGTTAGCTTCATTCATTGAGAGAAAATGTGCGCCTTTGGGGTTTGTAGTCTTTGTAATTACGTATTTTCACAGTCTTATACCTCAACGGTTTGACATCAAACTGCGACTTTCTTTACTTTAAAACGTATCTTTTAAATTGACAAACATCATATGTGTAATTCAGGGCACAATTCAAACCAGATCAAAATATTTGTTGTCACTCGCCATTGACTACCATTCAATATTTTTCCGAAATAAGGTCCCATGGTGGTCGACCGGAAGGGGAGGGACTTAGGCTCTCTATTGTCTTGTGTGTGATATTTTCCCAATACTGAGACATTGACCATTTTCACCCCGTGTCCTCTCCTCAGTCCATCTGAGATCGACGCTTCTCCAACGCTGGACGATCCTCTTGCATCCGACGTCGCTGGATCCACGTCGGCTGAAGACACTTTTGGAAACGCGATCGAGTTCTATTACCCAGAGCTGGACCTGTGTCAGCGCCGACCAGCCCTGCAGTGCGTCCCCGAGGCGGACGCGTTCAACCCCTGCGAGGACATCGCCGGCTTCGGCTTCCTGCGAGTGGCCATCTGGTTCATCAACGTCCTCGCCATCGCCGGCAACCTCACGGTCCTGCTCGTGATATTCACCAGCCGCTGCAAACTGACCGTCCCGAGATTCCTCATGTGCCACCTGGCCTTCGCCGACCTCTGCATCGGCGTGTATCTCCTCATGATCGCGACCGTGGACCTCAGGACGCGCGGACACTACAGTGAACACGCTATCGAGTGGCAAACTGGAGTGGGATGCGGCATCGCCGGGTTTCTGTCCGTCTTCGGTGGCGAGTTGTCCGTCTACACGTTGTCTAGCATTACCGTGGAGCGCTGGCACACGATCACGCACGCTCTCCGACTGGAACGCCGTCTGGGATTGAGCCACGCTTCCGCGATCATGACCGGCGGATGGTTGCTCTGTCTAGCGTTGGCCCTGCTTCCCTTGATAGGCGTCAGCAGCTACACTAAGGTCAGCATGTGTTTGCCGATGGACATCGAGACCCCTCTATCCCAAGCCTACGTCATGCTCCTCCTGCTGTTCAACGTCAGCGCTTTCCTGGTGATTTGCGGCTGCTACGTGTGCATTTACACGGCCGTCCGTAACCCGGAGTTCCCGGGACGCGCCGCGGACGCCAAGATCGCTAAGCGCATGGCGGTGCTAATCTTTACCGATTTCCTCTGCATGGCGCCCATCTCGTTTTTCGCCATTTCCGCGGCCTTCAAAGTCCCGCTCATCACGGTGACCAACTCGAAGATCCTCCTGGTGCTCTTCTACCCCATCAACTCGTGCGCGAACCCGTTCCTCTACGCCATCTTCACCAGGGCCTTCAGGAAAGATGCGTGTGTCCTGCTGAGCTCCATGGGCTGCTGCGAGAGCAAGGCTAACTTGTATCGAATGAAGACGTATTGCTCGGAGAACATCAACCGAAGCAAAAGCAGCTCCGGCTCCAATGCCAACTCCAAAGCCCCTCGCGCCGTCATGTGGATGTCCAGCTTTCCTCATCTAACGCTTCGGCCGCAGGTGCAAAAGGTCTAGCGAAACGGACGCGTTCAGACTCGGCTAATTTACACACGGTTTCGTTTCTAAGAGACTCGGGGAAGATGGTACCATTTTCGTGAGGACTCATTTTGCGGCTCATTTTCACTCAATGACTTACAAGACACACAGGTCTTATCTCTCTGAGAGAGAATGTAGCACCCAAAGACGCTGTTGTTAGGGGGTAAATGCAACAAAAAAATGCATTATTATGTCACTAGTCTGTGTTTAAGTCATTTTCAGTAACTCTATGCATGCATTTTCAGTCTTTTGGTGTCTGAATTAAACCTGATTATTGCATGATTGCTGTAAAATCGTTTAATTAGTCAATGTAAGGCTTTTTAATGTGAAAAAGAGTTTCCTTATTTAAGTTATATAACTTATCACAGATGTTTAAAGAGCACGTTCCAGAGCGTTTACACCATGGAAGAGCGCCACTTTGTGGACAAATCGAATTATTGTTCTAAAAACATTACAAATGAAGGTCGTTTTTATTATTATTATTACCATGTAGTATTTGAAATCAAATAAAATGAAAGCAAAATGTAATTGCATGTCTTTCATTATGTACCCATATAGTAGTATATTTGAGGTATTTTATATTTGTATAGCCTAGATTTTTTCAGATTTGTATTTATAAAGCGCTTTGAAGTTAGTGGACATTAAAATGTATTTTTCAACAATTGGCCATTAAAAATAAGCACGGAAATATTAATTATAAAATATTAATAAAAAGTAAAAATAAGTAGTGTGCGGCTGAATAAAGAATATGTGAAATAAAGCAAATGAAAGATGAGAGATTAAATTAAATAAAAATGTTAAGTAATAAAAATATATAACAAAACATAGAAGGGGCATTGACAAACAAAGCTTAAAAAAAACCTTTCAAATGTAATCCATATTTTTGAGTCATGAACAATGTTTAAACAAGTTTCAGTTGTTAAATAATATTTCAAAATGTTTACATTAATTTTTTGACTGGTTTTATACAGTATCAGACCTACAACCAAATAGTTGAATGTAAATACTGTTGTTGTACCACCTGACATGGGAAGTGTAACAAAAGTTTTTCAATTATCTCAACAGCTTTAAAACTCCTGATATTTATTAAATATGTTTATATAAAAGGTTTCAAACCTAAAATGGTTATGATGCCATAGTAGGCTATTTAGTTTTAATTTTTTTAATTAAGAGACCATTTTAAATTTGTTTGTTTGGACAGTTGCATCACCTGACATTTAGGGGAGCTAAGATAACAAAACATAAAAAAAACCCCATAACAAAACATAAAATAAAATGTATTATTGAATGAAGCAAGGCTACAAAAAATGAATTCGTTTTATACTAAAATGAATTATAGAATAACTAAATATGTTTTATAGAATAAAGTGATATGTCATGAATTTATCAAATAAGTTTGAAATAAGAAAGTATTGTTATAAGGAAATAACGCACTTGGACAAAAAAAATTATGCGGTTCATCAATATGTCATAAAACAAAACAACACGGGTAGTGAATTTCGTCAGGAGCGCGCATACATACCAACCTGCTGGTGACGTCACGCGATGGACCGCGCTCCTCCAGCGAGAGCGCGCGTGGTTGTGGAGTCTGCTGCGTTCGTCACGGCCAAACACACACACATTCCTTAGTGTGTTAAATGACCCCGAGAAAGCAGAAAAGAAGATGTTATTTGCTCTGCACATACTCTGCCTCGAGTGGATATTCGCCTGACACATTTATACTTGAGGAACGAGAAAAGGAACCGTTATGGTGTTTATTTTAGGCAAAAGTTTCTCAGCGATGTCGCGCTTTTTGACTCTACTGCTCGTCGGATTGTTTTCACAGTCAGTGACAACTGGTAAGATGTGTGTTTTCCTTTAAGTTACTGTTTACTCTTTGTGCACGTTTTATAAGCAACTGAAGCAAAAACCTTAAAAAGTTTATTGTTCAGAACTAAAGCAAGGTCTTGATAACTTTTGCATGTGCTGTGATTTGTCTTGTGCGGTTTAAAATGGCATTTTGCTTTGTTTGTGTCATATGGTATCGATGTATGCGCAGGAACTTTAAGTGGAATCATGTTGTTAACACAAAAAATGCTTTTATACATAAAAAAAAGAAAAACTTTAGTTGTTACGTATGTGCTTTGCAAAATACTGGGTTATTTCAGACCACAATTCACTTTTAGAGGATTACACTGCTAAAATAAGTTTCATAACTAGAAACTAAACAGGTTTAGAAAGATCTGTTATTGTGTTTAGTTCATGTGGTCAAAAAGATAAGATTTTACTGAAGCACTGGTGTAATTTGTTTTACAGTACAGTATCACGTTAAATCAAAAGTTTATTATATTAATAAGTTTGATAAACTGACAAATATATTATGATTCATATATAAGATTAGTGACAGAACATTATATCTCAGCAAAATGTTTGATTTTTATATTATGTGGAAATCTATATTTACTAAAAAATACATTTTTCCTGCTGGATTATGTATCTGAAATCTCATCAGTGCTCTCTGGGATTGTGGAACCCTTATATAAGACTTGGAATTTTCTATAAAACCTGGATCTGTTTATAATATCTTTTAATAAACAAGTGCAAGTGGAAGGGTGGAAGTACTTAGTGTGAACGTGTTTTCATTCCATTAACTTATATAAACAAAATATATTTCTATTACTAAATCATTGATCAACACCTGATCATTTAACTGTGCATACGAAGTACGAAATCTTTTTTTATCTAGTTTAATGAATCCATTTGTAGTATATAAAATGCTTTCTCAATAAGAGCTGCGTATGCTTCCTTTGATAACAAATGCTTTAGAGAAAGAATTTCCTTTTGCTCCTAGAGAACAGGATACTGGTTTTCCACTGCATTTCTGAAGCAATGCCAAAGCTGAGTCACAAACCTAAATAACAAGGATTTCCCTTACTGAAAAGCAGTGCGGCTGAACCATGGCATACCATATAGCGAGGAACTCAATGATTATGTGTTTGTAGAGGTGTAACGAAAACCTACATATCAAGATACGATATTATTGCAATACTTCAATGCATATGATAAAAGAGTGCTGGTGGGCAATGATTAATCACGATTAATCGCATCCAAAATAAAAGTTTGTGTTTGCATAATACATGTGTGCGTACTGCGTAATTATTTTGTATATATAAATACGCACACATGCATTTTATTTATATATAAAATATTAATATTTATATATAATATAAATTATGCATGAATATACATACAAAATATACATGCACATATTTCTTAAATGCACTATTATGTTAAATATTAAATACATAGATTCCTAGATTAATTGCAGACTTTAGATGCAGCGCACCAGGCCCTTATTTGTACATGTAGTTTAACATGTAAATGTGGTAAAACATCTTGACCGGCATGATATTGACGAAAACTCTGATGTCCTCAAACAGTTGCCAGTTGGAAACATCCCCTTACTGTCGTCCATCACGGAGGTTCACCGCATTGGGTGAGACAGGGCCGTTCTTTCCGTCCAACGCAGGCAACGGAGCCGCTGATTGTCCCGGGACGAGCCTCCGGTGTACATCTCTCACAGGAGGAGATCCAGAAGCTGCGCTTCAAACCCACCGTGGGCAAAATCCAGCGCTCGGAGGGGACAGAGGTCACGTTTAACTGCTCCATAGACGTCAATGATGTGAGCCAGGCCCAGGACCTGAATATCCTGTGGTTTAGGAACGGGAAGGAAATCCCGGATGGCATGCAGACGCAGATCTACATACAACGGACTTACATCTTACAGTCCACTATAAGGTGAGAGGACGTAAAACAGCCATTCAATTGTGACCAATTCATAGTTTTCATGTGACGTCACACCATTATAGGCCATTTCAAGGACGTAAACAATAAAAAAATGTGTTGGATTGCTACTGCGCATGTGTGTTTCTGCCATTTTTAAATCTCAGATCTGCCAAAACAAGCTCTAGTGTAGCGAAAAGGCAACAGTTGAGGTATCTCCAAAAACTGGAATAACCGGACCCTTTAAATAAGACTTTGATGCGTAAACTTTATATTGCTAATTGCTTAGTATCCAGCCTTCTCGCTTCACTTCTGCAATCCAGCCACATTTTCGGAAAACTAAACACTCTCATTTCCAAAAGAAGGTTCGCTTCTGCCTATTGGGCAACAAGGACCTAATTTTTATTTTGATATTTTTAAATATCAGGATTAAATACAAATTTCAAGCGCATCCTGCCATTGTATTGAGTGCGTTCGACAACTAAACCGACGAATAGCCGTCGAAATGGTCTAGAAACGCCCATCTGGAGGGCAAAACAAGCCTTTCCTCCATTGCACGCCTGTCATTTTTACCAGGTTTGTTGTAAGACAGTGATATTTAAAAACCAAATTCAATATACACCTTATTGATTATGCATACTTTGCACAGGCAAGCAAATGAACAAATGAAGGTTTCTCGTTTAGTATTTTTCCATCAAAAACCATTATAGAAAACTCATATTCTTGGCTCATCTTCTCATCTGCATATAGCATGCATCATTAAAAAGATGTAAACTGAATTTGATCTTTTAATATTACTTTTTTTTAGTACATTAAGACACTTTAAAGGTGGGTTGCACTTTAAGGCGTCGGTTCACCCTCCATCTATGCTGCTCGATCAGCCCTTTAATTCTAGTCTTTCTGCGTAGTTAATCTGTGTTTATAGGGATAGTTCACTTTGAAATTATTTTTTGATATGTTTTATCTTACCTCAAGGGCATCCGAGATGTAGGTGTCTTTGTTTCCGCAGTAGTTTCAATTTTGATATTTTTAGGTCAAACCGTTCTTTTCTATCAGTCATATAATGGAGGTCTATGGTCATCACCACCTCAAAGAGCATGCACAGAGAAGTCCAAATTAAACATAATTTAATGACTCATAAATGTAAGTACACATTGATGGCCTAAGACACGAAACAGGCGGTTTGTGTGAGAAAACGAACAGTATTTATATCGTTTTAACCTCTTGTAACCACAGCCACGTCCAAGTGATCTGAGGGCGCTGATGCTTTGTGGCTGTGGTTTATATTTTTTAATAAAAAATGTAACTCCATTTTTTTAAAATAAAATTTAATGCAAATAACACAAATAAATCTTACAATTTTTTCTACTCTTCTACTGTAATATTATTTGAATGTTGCATTGGTTATACTCGTCTGCTTAATTAATAAATGTAAATGAAGTCTAATTTAAGGATGCACCGACATGACAATTTTGGCCGATACCGATAATTCTTTATATTTGAAAGCCGATAACCGATATATTGGCCGATAAATCTAAATCCAAATTTTTGAGAGCCTGATTATAAAAAGTATACTCATTAAAAGCCAAGATACAGACACAATTATGATGTTCTTATATTAATGTTGTGTAGCCGATATGACAGACTTGTGCTGCATATTTTGCACTTTAACTGGATTTTCCTTTTTTAAAGAGATTTCAATCGTATTTCAAGCAATTTAAAAGCATTATGTTAAACAGTGCGCATTTAAAGTGTCTCAGCTGAAG